GGGCAACAGAACATAGCCTTTCAAAAATTCGCCATCCATATGGATCATAAGAAATATACCTCACACGTAATTATTGATGCAACGGCAATATAATAACTCAAGTGGAGTAACATGAGTGACCAGAGATGGTATCGTTGAAAGGAACCTGATAGGCGAGGGAAGTAGGCTACATTAGGCCAAGCCGCTAAAAAGAAGGTAGAACCGGATGGCAAAAGGAGGAAAAATAAACACGTCTCAACAACAGTAGAAAGAACGAATCTTATGGCCAAACAAACGGGGCACAAAAGAAGAACTAGTATGACAATTAAAGAGATTTAAGGTGTACTGTAGGACCAAAGAAAGTGACATGCGGGCATAATACATCGTCCAATCAGACACACAAGCATAAGTCCATGCATCTATGAAGTACTGGTGAACTTAAGACACACATAGTTGTGTCCTAGTAAAAATAGGAGACAAGCAACGCAGGAACCGGGATATTACCTTAAACCAACAGACGAATGTGCACTCACATCCTTAGTGAATGGAGGCTTCAGGAAATGAAAAAGGCAGATAAAAGAAAAAAATCAAGAAAAACCCAGAAAGAGGAAAAAGAGGGGTGCACATGGCAGGGGACATCTAATAGTGCACACAACAAAAACGGCCACAAGTAAGAAAGGGAGGTAAGCACCGTAGAATTCATTTCAACTATCACGGTGGGGATTTCAGCCCGCTCCTAGCGAAAGGATGGACCTGCCCACAGTTTGACAGGAGATAACGGTGATACTGATAACAATGACACGACCAAGTTAACGGACAGCAAAATTTGTTTAACGAAGATCAAGCAGCAAGGAAGCCAGAATTTCAACAGATAAATCCTGACCGGGTGGAATGGTGGAACTAATAATACAAAAACGAATATCTATATGGTAAAGCACGCAAGGAAGCTGTGTAAGAATCACGCTCGGATAAAGGGGGGAGGACACACCGCAAGGACATCCATAACAAATAAATCATTCACAGAACAGAAGAAGGCCCGAACTGGGTTGATAATCTACACCTCTAAGTCAAACTAAGTCAGGAGGAACGTGATAAATCTAGATGGGTAAGGAAGGACTGGGAAGGACTAAGGGGGGGAAAACAACTTCTATCGGCCGAGGCCTCACAGATCAAAACGGAAGCACACTTCACGGGTTTTGAACTAAAGTCGCAAAATATAGAATATCGAAATGTGATACAAGAACGGATGAAAAGAAAGAATGAAAGGCAACACACAAAAGTCTGAGAGAAATAAAGAGAGACTATGGCGGCAACCAAAAAAATTAAGAGAAAATAATCAGGAATAAGTCATTGGGGGAAAAATTGAGAGTGTGGGAACAGTGAAAAGAAAGGGGAGTAAAACGAGTAGGAGAGGGAACGTGTAAAATAAGAAAAAGACACAACAAAGGAGGAGTCCGCACACGATTCAACGGCACCATGAACACACAGAGAGGGCAAAAGGGGACATAAACCAAAGGTGACCCAGGCACCACGCAATTACTAAAAAGAGGACGGAATATAAGAGAGTGTGAAGTATCAAAGCGTAAACAACCAAACGCCAATACCAAATCGTGCGTCCAGCGTATATCTAAAAATATAACGTGGTTGGGAGTATGTAATAACACAAGCACAAAAAATACCGGAAAGGGAAATCGGGGACTACCATACCAACAAAGAAAGGAACAAGTGGCATACAATAAGATAATAATCAAACGGAATGCGTAACACACACACCGCTAACAAACGCACACTAAACCAGTAGTAAACATGCTACCACCAGGCAAACTAAAACAAAGGTGAAACTGAAAATACGCCGGAAAAGGGGAGAGGGGGAAAAGGGGAGAAAAAAGAAGGAAAGAAAGATCATATCGCTCTATTAGAATGGAATCGTGGAAACAAAGGGGAAAGAAAGAAGAAAAAAGAGAACGGAAGAAGGGAAGAAGAAAGGGGGAAGGGGGGAAAAGAAGAAAGAGGGGGGTGGCGGAGGTACCAAAAAAAAAAACAACTTCCTACGATTCACTACGTAGAGGAGGAATCGGTAGGAAGGTACGAGTTATAAAAAGGATGCGGGTAGCTCAAATTACTAGAATATAAGGAAATACGTGAATTAATTACTTCATTGCCATCTATTAAGTGTGAGTTCTGATATTACATGTTTCTTATTTCTCTCTCAGCCTCCTGAGCCTAGAAACGAGGAGGGAGGAGATGAAAGGACGAAGATACTGGTTTATTGGGAGGAACAAAGATCACACTAACCCCCAGAATTGTGTATGGAAAATTATTCCTTTTTTATTGTCTAACGAATTGTCTATAATGAGGTGTATATACAGTAGAAGTCAAAAAAACGTTTCCAAAATCGTTCACCGTTCAACCGTTGAACGGCATTCGAACGGAGAAACGGAAAACGGAAACGGAGAAACGCCGTTCACCGTTCAGACCGTTCGACAATTATGCGCGTGCGTGCCACTCCCACTTTTTCTAGTTACGGCCGTACGCTATCCTGAAGTAGCAAGGTGCGCTTTTACCACAGCCTAAGCCTTGCCAAAGGCCACGGCATCAAAAGTTGGCAAAAATAACCGTCGATTTCGCCGTGGTGAATTCGTCGATAGCTTTTAGCGCGCATCGCGGGTTGCGTAGCCGCGAACATGAACGGTCAACGGATGAATGGTGAAACGTCGTTCCGTCGGAAACGGATGAACGGTGAATGCCGTTCAACGGTTGAACGGTGAACGATTTTGGAAATGTTTTTTTGACTTCTACTGTACTATTATTGTTGTGCCTTTGAAAATGCATGCATTGCACTGGGACGAAAAACAGGTCTTAGTAGAAGAGGGGATTGAAATTTACTGGGTGCTTTGCTTCGACCTCGTTGTTGACAAGCATGAGTTGATCCTCGTTAGCCAAATTCCAAGTATATTGTACACTGAACGAGGGAGGTAACAAGACTGAGGTATTATTATACACAGTATATACTTGCTCTTAGAACTACCTATAGTGGGCCTGTGCAGAATTTCACAATTGTGATGTTATGTAACATTACGTATTCCATATTGTTTACGTAAAGGTGTCGTAAAACTGTGTACAAATAAGGAAAGTTGTCAAGAGGAGAAGAGCATAATAAAGACAATGCAGCAGTGTAATTCACCTTACTGTTAGATGGCTTCGTACACTATATTATTGTTGGAACTGCAGCCATGCTTTGGCCCTTCAAAAGTTTAGTGAGGTTACTGGAGTTAGTTTTAATTATCAGTGCCAAAGGCTTTAGCAAGGTGACTGCATTGGGGTCTATTCTTAAGTCGCTATATAGGAAACAGTTCTTCATTAATTTGGCCCCACTATTAATGAACTAAACATTTCCACTACAGAGTTCAGACAATAAGAGAGATGGCGAAACGGGTATGCTGTCACTTCCAAACAGCTCTAAAATAAACATTTTCTCTCTAAACCTGCAGCATCCTCGTACCTCCACCCCTTGCCCAATGGGATACTTGGAGCTGTCAACAATTTTGGTGAGCTGCTGTTGTACGCAATGAACGTTACGTCTCATAAAAAGCTGTCCATCCCTCCCTCCCTCTCTCTTTCTCTCTCTCTCTCTCTCTCTCTCTCTCTCTCTCTCTTCTAGGAGCATGAACTGAACCCTGGAGAGCAGCCAACTCCAGAGAATACAATGTCCCCTGCTGCTCTCCATCAACTGGAAAAGAGGGACACACCAGAAACATCATGTTATGGCAGGTCATTTTCTCTTAGCTATAGTGTATGGTGGCTGTACATTAAGTTCCATTAATATCATACCATTTTATAAAACATCCTGTTTATTATCAAACCTGAAATCCAAAACCAATAAGCAATACTGGATTCTACCCACAATCCCACACATTATCATAATTTATGGACGCACTGTGGGTATTACACCACTGTAGTGTCAGTAAAGAGCGCACCATGCCTTTCAACAACATAAGGTGTTCTGCAATACATTCCGTAGTTGTGTCAGTTGTTTAATCCACCCCTGTGTTACACACAAATGTATGGCTCACTGGCAGCAGTGAAACTGCACAGCTAGGGCCACGCGACAGCCCGACTGGGATCAGTCGAACCTGAGAAGGTAGAGGGAGTATATATATATGCCAATGCCTGCCCGGGAGTCACAACACTGTGCATGATTAATACTGTACTTAATGTTCACAGGTGAATTTACAATTTCCAGGAGGTGTCTGACTCAAGCCAGAAGTAACCCCTCCTCCCCTCCCACCTCACAACCTCCCTCCTCAGAATCAGCGCCCTCTCTGACTCCCTCTTCAGCTACAGTCGAGGGTACTCCTTCACCCTTTGAACCCGTACCTTCATAAACCTGTTGAGGCAGTCCTCAATACTAATGTTACTGCTTTCTTTGAACAGAACTCACCCTCCAGCTGGAGAGGAAGGAGAGGGAGTGGGAGGAGTACCACAGGAAAATAAAGTGAGAATGTATTAAGTAATCGGGGAAGAAACAGTTATGGATATTCCTGTGCAGTAATTGGCGAGTGGGAGTGAGGCAACCTAGCCGTACTAACAGCACAGATTTTATTGATCTACGACCATACGTCGAGCAAGTGTGCATGTGTCAGGATTACGCGCTTCTTTTTATCCAAATTTTTTACACACTGCAGCCATCCGCCAGTGGGAGAACTCAGCACCATTTGTGGTACTCTCCCCCGTGCCTCACTGAGGCTGTACCTCTTTCCAATCTTCGTGGTTCCTTGGTGCAAGTTGTGCATCAGCTATGATTGCTACGCTCACACACGCCGCATGGTTGGCCAGCCCGATCGATAGCTGCCTAGCCTACTGCTAGTTGCCTGGTGGACCACGGCAGACGAGCTAAAAAGTTATGCTCACCTGCACACCGTTCAGGCAATATACAGCACGCATGTAACGGCGACAGGTAGCTCTGTCTTGCTTCACGAAAGGAAAGCTGTGCACTGACGCCACATTATGCAGCCCGAACATCGCAGGCAAATCCCAAGTTGGGTTGCTCCCGCTCGCCAGCAATGTTCAACATTCTACTAGTAATTATTATACTGTGACCTCTCTTTCTCAGGCAAGTGGAAGAGGATATCAAGAAGATAAAGGAGCAGCTCTACCAAGCAAGAGTGAGCAACTAACAGTATTATTGGCGAGCAGGCTGTTGCGTTGCACTGAGAGCGACTGTGGGTTTTTAATATTATTTCCTCCTTCAGCTGTCCCACCACCATCCCAGTCCTCCCTCCCCTCCTTCTCCTCATCTCCGTCCACACCACCCCAGATCTCCCTGTCCCTCCTCTACCCCTCCCCCTCCCTTCCCGGAAGCAGCAACCCCGGGACCCAGCGGGGCAGCTGTGGAAGACGAACAGACGTTAGGTTCCCGGTCTTCTCTCTCATGTTACTGGTACACATTGTCTCACCTACAGGGCAATGTGCAATAAGTTTCTATATACAGGAAGTAATAAAAAATATACCACCAAATGAGGTGAGCACTTCTGCTCCTAGTTTCGAATGTGCACAATAACCATAGGTCCTACAGGAATTGACAATTGCAAAACACCGGGGAGAAGATGTGTTGAGTGTGTGCAAACGCACACTCAACCTTGAGCATCCTATAATAAAATATAACCTTGATTGCCAACAACGCTATTTCGTTAAGAAGGGGGATCCTTCTCTAACCAGAAATAGTAAGCACTTGGCTTACATGTTTAAAGTAGACCTATTTAGGGAAGATGACATGGACAAAGAAAACTAAGAAAAATGTAAGTTACTTTTAGAAGAGCTCTGTTTATTATTGGTATATACCTGCATCAATTTTTATCCAGGTGTCGTCCTCCTCATCCTACATATAAATTGCAGTAGACATTGATAATTATCGAATTCTTCATTATTATCATGCAGTCGACAATGAAAAATGCAAGGCACAGTACATAAGTGTGACCACACGGCGACAGTATGAGCCTTCAGTGCAACAACCAAGACCTTAAAGTCTTCATCCCCTGTTGGCACTCCGCACCTGGGAGGGGGTCCAGTTGCTGTCTAGTTTGGTTACATACCAGGTCGTCTGCAAACTCCTGTTAACCACACACTCTGGCTGTGGAATTGTATTTGTATGTGGCAGTGTTTGGGACACCTTATTGAGGTTCTGACAGAATTCTACAGGATTTCCCTAGTCATTCTTCAGTTCATCGAGCATAATCAGGCCTAATTACACAGCATAATTATATAACCCCATAATCTTACATAACACAATGAGGAACAGCAGCCCAATAAATACTACATCATATCCAGCAGCAATAAGAACCCAAGCATCCATATGCCAGTGCGCTCAGCAACCTTCTTGACGAACATGACTTTTGTACATATGTAGGCGCATTGATAACTGTTTCTTGTTAATGGAATTTTCCCCTTTCTTGACAAACATGTCTTTTGCTTTACTTTATTATGGGATGTTCTGGGTGCATCGTGCATTTTGGTACGGATAGCACCTCTTCTTTTTTAACGTCGATAACTTCAATATCAGGCTGCCTAATCTTGAGTCCCAAGCCAATGTTCTTCCACCTTGAGTCTGGCATCCCCGATCACTTCTTGTACTCATCTACTCTCAAATCATCTTTGCTCGAAGACGTCCTGTGATAATTGGCTCTAACGTAAGCGCGTGCGCGCGCAACGGCGACCACCAGGGACCATGTCACACTGGCGATGTGTGATGAGAGATGCAGGGTGATGGTATGATAAGGAGGAGACAGCCAAAAGGTGGAGAGATGGATGGTGGAAGATGGAGGATATCACTTTGGACTGCGGTATATAGACTGAATGAGTGTTGAAGCTCACCTGCAAATTCAGACCAGATTATGAGATAATCTATAATAGTCAACATCACCATGTAAACCAACAGCTCAAGCTTTTGCATGGGAAATGCACGACATACATTTCTGGCGTCAATGCATATAATGTGAATGTGTGAACCACCTACCATTGTCACAAGTCCACACCTTCACCTCTCCACCTTCACCTCTCCTCCACCAACTACCATTATCCCACATGGTATCACCAGACTGCTCCCCAGATGGCCAGGAGAGTGCTGCAACATTCACTGTCCCTGCATCACATTCCAATGAACATTGATATGATACACTGTAGTGCATTCTGTCGCCACTGAATAATTAATAGCGAGTGAAGTGAGCCTGCCTAGTCGTCTGAATGCAGGATTCTTAAAATAATATTAACATCTGGCCCATCAACCAGCACTGCACATAGCATATGTCATTCTAAATAAGCGTGAAACATGCACGAAAAATCGAACTGCTTGCCTCACTCGTCAAAAATGTGTTGCATTCGCTATGTATATTCACTAAGTGTATAGTTGGTATAATACATTGCAGTATGCACAAAAGCGTATTAAATGTATTGTTCAGTATTGGTGTATGACGGGTCTGCTTGTTGGGTGACAAAGATAGAGACGTGACAGTTAGTGAACACGAGCTATGGAAGACCACTGTTTGATGGCAATTGTTGTTGGCACTGGGACTCAACTCCCTGAGACGAAGTCGACCGTGGCAGCGACGATTGAACTGGCTGGACAGGTTGTTGATTGGGCGTCTGGGCAGGGGTGGAGACTGAGTCGCTGTGTCGGTGGCTGTAAGGTCTATCACTGGCGGCACAGATGTCTGGGGACCAGCACGGGGTGGTTTTGCAACAGCAGACTGCTGAGTAGAAGAGGAAGAACTTAGCCCGGGTAGGGTAGCACGGATTTCTCCCACCAGTTTGGCGATGGCCAATCTTCCCATTGGTCTTAGAGTGAACCAGTGCTTTGAGGAAGTCCAGTCTTTCACCGGGCGCAGATAGAAAACGTCCTTCTCAAACACTTCCAGCGGAATCTTTTTGAGGTAGAAATCGAGGATGCGGACATACGGCACAGGTTGCCCTCTTGAACTCCAGCGAGGACACGGACCGCTTTGTCTGCCTTTGCCCTCGACATAGAGGACACCGAAACTGCTTCGCGTGGCTGCTCCCGGTAAACGTACCTGAGAGGGTCGGTCATACGCTTCAAGTAACTCAGTTTGAGTCGTCCCTGATGCTCAGTCAAGTGAAGACCAAAACTCTTTGCATTCAGTAGTGTGTCAGGTGTGTCTTGATGGACAGTGTGCCAGAAGCTAAGAGTTTGTCCTGCTCCTCCTTTCTCAGTGTTTTATACTCTGCCGCATTGCCACGTTCTGTCACGACAGCATCATGGATAGACCTGAAGTGGTGACCGTCACTAAGAAAGTTGGGCCAGGAGGGATTGAGGCTCCTCATGTACCGATACAAACCAGCCAGTATAAGGTGCACCGTCCTGGCCGGGTAGTAGCTCCCATTCGTTTTACGCGCTTCGTCTGCGAAGAGACCGAGCCATTTGTCTAGAAGCTGCAGATCCGAGCTCCCTATCTTCGCTGTTATCGGGGACTTGCAGTGCGGTGCCATGTTACCTGAGCTTACAACAACCTCAATACTGTACAAATACCGTCGTCACCCTGATCGTTGTCACGAAAAAACATGTTTATAGCATACTAGCTAAAAGAATAATATCAGAGGAAAAGAAAGAACCTCCCCCACCCAAGCACACAAAACACAGACAATAACATATAAACAGAAAGAAAGAGGCAGGACCCTGGGTGCCCAGCCTTGAGAACCGGGGCGGTAGGTTAAAGAGTCTTTTATTTGCCAACATGATGTGTAGGGCTTCTTGGGTGCACAGAACATGTTTGTTGTTGTCCTGATCCAGGATGGATGTCTCATCCCACTGTGGTTGGTGTTTCCATGCAGCTGTGGGTTAGCATACATTGGAGAGACGAAGAGAATGCTGGAGACCCGTCTGAAAGAACATAAGGCAGCTACTCGACGTGGAGAGATAGACAAATCGGCCGTGGCAGAACATGTTTGGAGCCACCCACACCAAGGGATGAGACATCCATCCTGGATCAGGACAACAACAAACATGTTCTGTGCATCAAAGAAGCCCTACACATCATGTTGGCAAACCCACAAACACTAATACAGAGACCAGGGCACAGCCATCTCGGATTGTTGGACACCAGTTCTACAACACTGGTTCAAGAACACGGCCCCCATCTCGACCCTGAACTGTATAAATAGGCCACTCGCCCCCTGAGTCTCCTCCAGTTGTCGTCACTCTGCCCTGAGTCTCCTCCAGTTGTCGTCACTCTGCCCTGAGTCTCCTCCAGTTGTCGTCACTCTGCCCCTGAGTCTCCTCCAGTTGTCGTCACTCTGTCCCTGAGTCTCCTCCAGTTGTCGTCACTCTGTCCCCTGAGTTTCCTCCAGTTGTCGTCACTCACTCTGCCCTGAGTCTCCTCCAGTTGTCGTCACTCTGTCCCTGAGTCTCCTCCAGTTGTCGTCACTCTGCCCTGAGTCTCCTCCAGTTGTCGTCACTCTGTCCCTGAGTCTCCTCCAGTTGTCGTCACTCTGCCCTGAGTCTCCTCCAGTTGTCGTCACTCTGTCCCTGAGTCTCCTCCAGTTGTCGTCACTCTGCCCCTGAGTCTCCTCCAGTTGTCGTCACTCTGCCCCTGAGTCTCCTCCAGTTCTGCGACTCACCTCCAGTATTGTCTACATAAAGGTGTCGTGAAAACTGTGTACAAATAAGGAAAGTAGTCAAGAGAAGAAGAGCATAATAAAGACAATGCAGCAGTGTAATTCACCTTACTGTTAGATGGCTTCGTACACTATATTATTGTTGGAACTGCAGCCATGCTTTGGCCCTTCAAAGGTTTAGTGAGGTTAATGGAGTTAGTTTTAATTATCAGTGCCAAAGGCTTTTAGCAAGGTGACTGCATTGGGGTCTATTCTTAAGTCGCTATATAGGAAACAGTTCTTCATTAATTTGGCCCCACTATTAATGAACTAAACATTTCCACTACAGAGTTCAGACAATAAGAGAGATGGCGAAACGGGTATGCTGTCACTTCCAAACAGCTCTAAAATCAACATTTTCTCTCTAAACCTGCAGCATCCTCGTACCTCCACTCCTTTGCAACCAGTACCCTTGGAGTTATCGACAATTTTGGTGAGCTGTAGCTGTATGCAACGAATGTTACGTCTCATCTCTCTCTCTCTTTCTCTCTCTCTCTCCCCTAACAGTATATACCTCCAAGGTAGTAATGTCATGTGGTTACTATCAACTCATAGAGACATAGATATAGTCAGTTAGATAGGTAGTTCACTTCAGTATAAGCAAGGTTGTGTTGGGAGTGTATTACATGTCGGGAGTATAAAGAGGCCGAAATGTGTAATGCATGATGAACAATGGGGAACTCCCTTGATGACCAGTGCAGTCACTTTGATTTAAAAGACTCTGATTCAGGAGACTACCAATATCAAATATGTACATTTAAGCATTTGAGTGCGTATTTCTCAATGCCCCACACAAATATGGACAAAGTGCCGCCCAACTCATCCTGAGTTTTTTGACTCCCGTTAAATATCTCTCTCCATAGGAGCAGCAACCACACCCCCCACACCCTACAGAATGCCTTACTCCGGACAATATGACAGAACTCTCTCTTGCTGCTCTTTGGCGTCGGGTAAGAATGCCAACCCCTGAAGCGTCGTAAGTGTATTATATAATATGGAAGGTAATATTTCTCTTAGCTAGGTGCGTTGTGGCGGTAGTGTCAATAAAGAGTGAAAAAGTGGGGCAAATCAGATGCAAACTGCACTGTGCCTTTCAACGTAAGGCGATTCAGTATTATGTTAATTTTTTTATCAATCCCTGTGTGACGTGCAAACGTATGCACAGCTAGAGCAATGCAACAGCCTGACTGGGATCTCAAAGTGTCGAACCTGGGAAGTTAGAGGGATTATGTATGCAATGCTTGCCGAAGAGTTATGACACTGTGCACAATTAATACTGTACTTCGAACAAACAGATAACAAAAACGTTAACAGGGCAATTTACAATTTCCAGGAGGCGTCTGGCTCCAGGAAGTGCAGGAGAAACTCCTTCGTCCCTTCTTTCCTCAGAACCTCCCTCCTCCCTTCTCCCCTCACAACTTGCCCCCTCCCCTCTCCCCTCACACACTTCCCCTGTGCCCTCTCTGACTCCCTCAGTCAAAGGTACTCCTTCACCTTTTGAACCCATACCTTCATTAACCTGTTGAGGCAGTCCTCAATACTAATGTTACTGCTTTCTTTGAACAGAACTCACCCTCCAGCTGGAGAGGAAGGAGAGGGAGTGGGAGGAGTACAAAAGGAAAATAAAGTGAGAATGTATTAAGTAATTGGGGGATAAATTTTCAGTTAATTGGTGAGTGAGAGTGAGGCTGGGCGCCGATGGCACGTTCTGCAGCCCGAACATCGCGGGCAAATCCCAAGTTTGGTTGCTCCCGCTCGCCAACAATGTTCAACATTCTACTAGTAATTATTATACTGTGACCTCTCTCTCTCAGGCAAGACATCAAGAGCTTGAAACACCAGCTCTACCAAGCAAGAGTGAGCAACTAACAGTATTATTGGCGAGCGGGCTGTTGCGTTGCACTGAGAGAGACTGTGGGTTTTAATATTATTTCCTCCTTCAGCTGGCCCACCACCATCCCAGTCCTCCCTCCCTCTCCCTGTCCCCCTCCCAGCGGGGCAGCTATAGACGAACAGACGTTAGGTTCCCGGTCTTCTCTCTCATGCTACTGGTACACATTGTCTCACCTACAGGTCAATCTGCAATGAGTTCATTATAGAGGTTATAAAAAAATTTGAAAACCAACCACCAAATGAGGTGAGCACTTCTGCTCCTAGTTTCGAATGTGCACGATAATTAACATTGTTATCCATAGGTCCTATATACAGGGATTGGCTGTAGGCAAATTCAAGGGAGAAGATGTGTTGAGTGTGTGCAAATACACACTCAACCCTGAGCATCGAATAATAAAATATAGCCTAGGTTGCCCAAGACAACGCTATTTCGTTAAGAAGGGGGATCCTTCTCTTACACGAAATGGCAGGCACTTGGCTTACATGTTTAAAGTAACACTATTTAGAAGTGAGGATGTTGAAACTCTAAGAAAAATGTAAGTTACTTTAGAAGAGCTCTGTTTATTATTGGTATATACCTGCATCAATTTTTATTCAGGTGCCGCGCTCCTCGTCCAGAATATAAATTGCAGTAGTTATTATTA